CTCTAACCATCACTAAGGCATATATAGTGTATGAAAATTATGTCCCCCATGTAGAGAATATTAAATGTAAACATGAGAATTTGTAAAAATTAATTCTGAAAATTTATAAAATTTATGTATCCATAGTATACAATACTGGCATGTGCCAAATGTTATAAAACCAAAACTCTCTCTGGGAGTCCAGCAAGGTGCACAGAGGAGGTAACATGAGGCAGGCTTTGAAAGATCAAGTGGGAGTTCTCTGCATCGGAAGGGACGATGGGGTGGGGGTCCACTCAAAGGAAACAGCATATGCAAAAACAGGGACTAGGGTTACCCAACTTAGCAAGTAAAAATACAATACAGGATATCCAATTAAATTTGAATTTCAGATAACAACAAATAATTTTTAGTATGTCACGTAATAACGTTTATCTGAAATTCAAATTTAACTAGGCATCCTGTACTTTATCTGGCAACCTTAACAAGAACATAAAAGAGAAAGTCTTGGGAAGTCAACAATAGTGTTGCATAGCTGTAACTTAGAGTATGAATGGGAAGATGACAGATGTGTCAAGAATGATAAGCTAGGGTCATATCACAAAGGGCCTATAATTTAGTTACTTAGTTTAAACTTTCTCTTGTAGACGATAGAAGTCAGCAAAGATTGTACAGGGAAGAGGAGTGATATGTGTTCAGACCTTTCAGAAGGGTTAGAACGGATAAGGAGTATGAAATACATATTGGAGGTAGGAAAGACTGACCTGGAGACAGGTAGACCAATTTGGATCACAAGTTGTGCAATCTTGAGTACATCATTTTTAAACCTTTCAGGTCCTCAGATTCCTGATCAATAAAATGAAGTAGACAATAACCTCTAAGATTTCAGCTCTCACAAATTACGATTCTATTTAAGTCTAAGTGGCTGTGACCAGAAACAGGAAGAGGATCCAGGATGAACAGATTCAGAATAGAATGTTTGAGGAGGACCCTGGCAACAAGATTAGGAGCAAGGGTCAAGGACAAAATAGGATTCCTGGGAGAAAAGCCGGACAGGTTTCACCAAAAGATGTTGTCTCAGCCACAAGTCAATGCAGAAAAGAACTTCCCCCTCAGGAGACTAGAAGAAAGTAAAAGAGTAGCCTTTCAAAGAACTGAATTCCTGAAAGTTAGGGCTTCAGAAGAGCTTACAGCAGAGTAGCTACAGAGACCAAAAGGCAGAGATTAATGCTTAAAACCTGTGCTAAGGTAATGAGGGGTTTTTTGTTGTTGTTGTTGTTGTTGTTGTTTTTTCAATTTAACTTTATAGGTCGTGTTGAAATTGTCTCTTACATCAATAAAGTTTAAGTTGGGCTAGGTTACAGCAACAATGAAGAAGGAATCTTCTGAAAAGAATGAGAAAGGTAGAGACCTAAGAATACAGTTTTTGACTGAAATGCCTCAAATTTTATATCTTTGGGTGGGAATAGGTCACTAAGATCAGGAAGCAGAAAGGAATTCAGGTAGGGAAGATGGGGCTCAGCCAGTCTGTCCACTGCCCCTTAGCTGGGCAGCAATGGAACGGACTTGGTTTCATAGAACTCCATCTCTGTGGGACAAATGGTCTTTTTAACAAGCTAGAAAGCATCATCATTTTCTACAACCACCACAATGGGCTTCTGTTGTTTGAAAATTCATTAGAGGATTAAGTTCTAATCAAAGTTTAGGGAAAATTTTGAAAGAAGTGACAAACAGAAAATAAACCTTTCACGAGTCACAGTAATTTTGGGGTAGAAAAAAGGACAAATAATTTTTATCTTATGTGAAAATTAAACATAAAAGTAAAAATAAAGGATATTTACTTGAATTACTTTGGTAAAAAGACCATCAAACTGAGCAGGACACAGCAACTTTACCTGCTGGAGACAAACTACTGGAGCCAGGTGTGCCTGAAAAGTACTTCGTCGGTCTGTAATGGGAATGCCATGATCAATCGGAGGTAATTCTTCTGTTTCTATAAATTTAAAGAACAAGTTTATTTTGTTAAAATTCTTACTGAATGTAACACTGAAAAACTGGCAATGGTGGGAGAAAGGGGAAGCAGCTGGGAAAGAAATGTAAATTATATGGCAAATCACCCCAAATAGCCTTTGACAGTTGTCCTCAAAACTAAATTTAAATTACAACTTTAAGTAAAAAGTTTCTAAATGTATTGGACATAAGAAAATAATACATATGATTCTCAACTGCCCAAGGTCACCCAGTAGAAGTGATAGGTTGAGACTCAAATCCTGGACTGCTGATAGTAGTTGGTACACTATCTAATATTTAAGAGTATAAAGGAGTCCCGAAACCAAAAAAGTGTAAGAACTGCTAATGCCTGCTAATACACCATGATTTATCTATCCTCTCTACTGCTGATGACCTCTGGGTTGGAAAATCTATGACTTTATATTGCATAGCTTGAATGTAATGTTTTCTGCTAATAAAACCATTCCTACTTCATATAAGGGAATTAAACAGACCAATAAATACATCATGCTCCGATTGGTATTTCATAAAGAATATCATGATTTGACTTCCAGGCAACATGGCGCTCTAGGCAGAAGCACCACGCTGTCCCTCCATAGCAAAGAGCCGAAAAACTAAGCCAAACAGAGAAAACAGCA